AAAAAAAAAAAAACAAAAAAAAAAAAAAAAAAAAAAAAAAAAAAAAAAAAATGTTTTCAATACAAATGATCAGGACACATTTAAAAAAGTGGGGGTAACACAAAATCAGGTGTTACAGGGAGGTGGGGGAATGTGCACATAAATGTAGGAGCTCCTACAGGCCAGAGAGGCCACTGAATCCTAAGAACTGAAATGGCTGTGACCCTTCAGTGGGTACTGGGAACTTGATGCAGAAGCATCAAGCACTCAACCACCAAGTGATCTCTCTTGCCCCCTTTAAAAATTACACCAATTTACTTGCCATGTGGCACATGTAGAGGTCAGAGGATGGCTCTTGGGAGTTGTTTCTCTCCTCCCACTTCAATTCCAGGGATTGAACTGAGGTTGTCAGGATGGATGGCAAGCCCACTACCCACTGAGCTACGCCAATTATGCCCTCTACACAATGAACCACCCCAGTGGCCCCTAGCTTTCACTTTCACTTTTACTTGCTCTTTCCTCCTACTCCAAGGAACTGCATGCAAGGGCATTCTATGAATGTCTCGTAAACACTAAGTATCCTATAAAGGTTACTACATGCAGTAGCTGCCCTGTGCATACCTGGGGAGGTTGAAGGAGTCAGTCTGAAGAAGGGCCGGTACTTTACTCTCCATTGTGGGGTCCTGCTCATGCTCGGTGTCTACCTGCTGCAGCATTCTTGTTCTATGACACTGTGTCGCTTGCTGAAGGAAGAGTGGTTCAGTCCAATACCTGCAATTTGAGAAGAAAACTAGGAAGGTAATGGAGTCCTTTACTCCTGGAACCACTATGAGTAGAGGACACATGGGCAGCCACAGCCTGATTCAGGAGGATACCTCATGGACCTTTGCCAGGCACCACTGCTGCCTCCAGGGTCAGGGCACAGTCACAAGTCTCAGCGTTAGTAAGTCTCTATGTTCAGCACCTGCACCTTATTTGTGGCCCCTCCTGCTTTGGGGGTAGCATTATGTTAAGTCTGTCCTTCAGCACCATCCCTTCCATAACCTAAATGGCTCCTGTGATGGGCACTGATAGCGGGCATTTGGTGTGGGTCACAGGCACAGCTGGCATGGGAGATTTTGCTATCCCAACCAGAAAGTTTAAATGTACAACTTTGGTGGTGTACACCTCTGGACCTTCCTGTATGATATTTTCAACTGCAGTGCTTAGAGAGAATGGGGAAAACATGTTCAGGTCAGGGAGTATCCTGGAGAGTTCAGTCAGCTGCAAGTTCATTCCTATAGTGACACCTCAACCCTGGAGCATGGTTCTTCTGGTTCCTGGTTGTCTGGCAAAGTCAGGGCTGAGCACCCACAATGTCATCTCCTGCTAAAATCTTGGTTTATGATAATCAGAATGTTATGTTTGCCTCTGCCTGGCCTGTGCCCTGGGGATGGTGGTGTTGTGACTGGATGTCTGATTTGAGGGAAATCCCAGCTTCTATTCACCCTGTTGCTGATGCTGCCTTGAAGGGTTGATCACATTCGCCCCCCCCGCAACCCCATCAAGTGGTCCCTAGTGGTCTTCAGTGTCTATGTTGTCATGGCAATGCCTGCATCTTTCTCTTGAGGTTGAATGGATCTCCTGAAGGGGTGGGCGAGGATGGTATCCTCTCAGTAGTTGAAGATTCTTAGAGGATCTCATCTCCATATCCTGAGTGAAGCCACTTCTAGTTGAGCAGCTCTTTCCTGTAGTAAGGCACAGGTGAATACCTGGATTTGACATTCAGTGTTCTCAAATTTCAGATTTCAGATTAGGGATGTTCAGGCTGTGCTGTGTTTCCATTCCTCCCAGAAGCTAGCTTATATGGGACTCATACATTTGGCATCACCAAACCTACCCAGTGATTATTCAAATCGCCACATCATTCCAGGCACACTGGAGCGGTCCTCCTGGGACATCAGTTGATTCTGGCCATTGCCCTATACCAATTGCTTGTCTTTTTTCTTGTGTGTGTGTGTGTGTGTGTGTGTGTGTGAGAGAGAGAGAGAGAGAGAGAGAGAGAGAGAGAGAGAGAGAGAGAGAGAGAGAGAGAGAG